GTAGCTACAGTATTCATGGCTACTACAAATATATTACTTCTTTAAATTTTTATTAAAATTAGTAAAATTCTAATTATAAATTAATATATTATAAATATTACTTACTACTAAAACTTCAACCAATTCAATAGGTTTACTTGCTAATATAATTTATTTTAAATAAATAAATGTTTAAAAAATTATTAGAATCTTTAGCTAATAATGTTTAGCTTATACATCTCGAGTCCAAATTATTTTGCAAATTAATATTGTATTTTACTTTTTTTTTAGTTTTGCATTTTATACAATCTATTTGCTCTAATGGTTATTAAGCTAGAAATGTATTTATTAAACATTAATAGCTAAAGACAAAAAAATATATTGCTTAAAATAAATACCTTTAATTGCACTTGATATTTTTTGTGTACTAATAATTTTGCTAATATACATATTATCTGGATTCTTATGTAAGATAATTGGCATTTCTTTTACTATTTTATCTGCTGCTAAGAATTGCTTTTTAATTTCACTTTCAACATCTGAACTATTCAAGCTTTCATACCAATCAATAAGTTTTCTACAAATAACCTTAGCAGTAGGGCGTTTTTGTGGATCCAAGTCCATGCATTGCTTAGCTAATTCAATGTAAAAATATGGAGTCCCAGTTGTAAATTCAGGTCGCAATCCAAAACAAATCTTTACTGCAAGTTCATCATTAAATTCATAACCATCAAATGGTCGCTGTCCTGTTGATATTTCTGACATAATAACTCCAAATCCGTATATGTCAGCAGCTTGTGTAAACGGTTGTCCATTTAAAACCTCAGGAGCAACATAGGGCACAAAACCATAAACTTTGTCTTTTGAACAATCATCTTTCATTCTTGATAATCCAAGATCTGCTATATATGATTTTATTTTTCCATCAAGATTTTGGTTTAACAAAATATTGCCACTGTGAAAGTCATTATGTGTGAACCCTGCCTGATGAATTAGATTTAAATCATATGAGATATATATAAGTTGTTCCAATTTCTTTTCCCATATAAGTTCTCTGAAATTTTGCGTTAAAAATTCATGAAGATTTCCTCTGTTAGCGTATTGAAATACCATCAAATATTCACTTTCTTTATTTTGAGTCAATCCATATATTTCAAGTTCACTACCTTCTAATCTACATCGCATGTGAGTTTCAAACTTTAAGATAAGCAAAAATGTATAAGTTTTATAGAATTATGTAAATATAATCGATAGATAACTTTCTTACCTCTTTTAAGAAATTAGATGCATTCATCTTAGAACCAGGCAAAACTTTAAGTGCAACAGGGTAAGTTGGTCTACGTGATCGTTTATAACTCTCATCAATCATTTCGACTACTCGTTTACCATCTGCCCAAATTGCTAAATATACCGTCCCAAACCCCCCTTCACCGATCTTTTGAATCCTAGTTAGTCTATTAATTGGAATCCATTCAATCACTTCCTCATATGCTGTAGCTTTAAGTTGAAACTTTTTGATACAATAATCAATTTCCTTGACATGACTTAATTGTTCTTGGACGATCTTGGGAGGATCACACAATTGACACCAGGCTGGGTTAGTGTTGTATCTTTCACATTGGGTACACATTCCATTGATGAAATCTCTTTTGTTATTATAATAATCAAGTACAATCATATATTGATAGGTTTTCGTATCTTGAGTTATTCCATATAATTTATAATTCTCTGATTGCATGTAATTTTTGAACTTACGAGATATATGTTTTTCTTAGTAGTGTTGTAACAAACCATAATACAAAAGATGACAAGTTAACTTACTGTTTTTATAGGATCTGAAACGTTTGTTTGTAATTTCACGAGGTTAACGCACGTTGTAATACGTGACTGCTTATAATTTCCAGGTTCCCCTTTGATTGTTCGTAAACCATCTATCCAAGTTGCTATAAGTAGATCTGGATTTGATTCATCTTGAATTACTTGAAGGTCAGTTAATTTGTTGAATGAAATCCATTCAATCACATCATATTCTGTAGCTTTGATTTGATATTCTTTGATGAAATTATCAATTTCCTTATTTCCACTTGTCCATCCTTGAGTTACTCTCCAAGGATCACACAATTGGCACCAGGCAGGAGAGGTATTGTATCGTTCGCAATGTTTACATATTCCATTATTTGACTTTCTTATATCATTATAAAAATCAAGTACGATCATATATTGACCAGTTTCTGCATCTCGAGTTATTCCATGTATTCTACATTTCTTTGACTGCATATAATTTTTAAACTAACAAGAATTATGTATTAATTATTTAGGTTTATTCATTAACCTAACATAAATTAATATTAACCTACAGTATTTATAAAATCCGAAGGATATTGCAACTTCATGAGGTCAACACATGACTTAAGGCGTGATTGCTTGTAATTTCCAGGTTCACCCTGAATTGTTCGTATACCATCATTCCAAGTTGCCGTAAATATTAGATCGTGATTGGAATCATCTTTAATTTCCTGAAATTTAGTTAGTTTGTCGAATGGAATCCATTCAACTACTTTCTCATATTCCGTGGCTTCAAGCCGTGATTTTTCGATGAAATCATCAATTTCTTTGCTTCCACTTGTCCATTTTTGAGTTGCTTTCCAAGGATCACAGGATTCACACCAAGCAGGGGAAGTGTTGTCATGTTTACAGTAAATACATTTTCCATTTAAACTTTTTCGTTTAGACCTAAACTCATCTGGTATTACTATCATATATTGATTTGTTACTGTATTTTGGGTAATTCCATATACTGTTACTGCATTTTTGGTGATTCCATATACATTGTCGTCCGATCGCATATAATCTTTAAACTTATAATAACATTTTTACATATATAAATAAATTACAAATGTCGATGTTAATACGTGATAAGACATTGAACAATAATTTAACCTACTTCTTTTATAAAATCTTTACTTGTTTGAGAACCATGTAGCGTTTTAAGTTTAACTCCAGATAAACGAATACGTTTCTGTGTATACTGTTGATTTTCGGATTCAGGACTCCTCTCAACAATTCTTATACCATCCAGCCATGTCGCCATAGATATTATTTCTGATTCGTTTTCTCTAATTGTATGCACGTTAGTCAGCCTATTATATGGAATCCATTCAATTACATTCTCATATGTCGTAGCTTTCATTTGAAAATTTCTAATACATTTATCAATATCTTTATTGGTACACTTTTCAATAAGTTCACATTTTTTACACCCGATTGGAGGACTGAATTCTTGACATATTGAGCATCTTTCATCATTTCTACGCCTTAGTTATAAAATATAATTTATTAACTTAATTTTCTTTGACCGCATTAGGTTTAATATTTGTAAAATAAACGAATAAAAATATTAACTAACCTTTCCGTTAAATTGGTTGGTTACGTTCGAGTTAATGAATTAGATGCTTATCATTATATAACAATGAATTTATAAACAAATATCAATGACACGTAAAAATTCTGAACCAGGTTTGTGGTGCAGTTTAACGATTAGCAAAAAATTTTTAAAGTTCATTGTGCCTAGGGGACTAAAGGTTAGAGGTTAGGCAATTATATAGTGAAATCGCTCAAGGAACCCTTTTTGTTAGAGTACTAAAGGTGGGTTTTTATGCAGGTTGTCAAAACAAACGTTTGTATTTGAATTTGCTATCGGTTACGTTGCGCGAAATCTAATTTACCTGCGCCATAATGATCGACAAAACCTGGCACAGAATTCTTGATGTTTAATTTCAACTTACTTATCATTGATAACTGAATTAAAACAAAAGTTACAATTATATGTGAAAATTAATATAAAGAATGCCTGTTGATTAAATTGAAACTTACCATATTTTAATCCTTGACCAAAATTGACCAATACCTTGACACCAAAAATAAGCAATAGCTGTGGTAAACAAATGAATTAGTAAAAGACCTTAAATCTATATTTAGAGTCTAAAGCAGAGATAACTCATATAAATTAATAGTTTAGTTTATCTAATTAACTTTAGTGTTGGAGATGTTTATATGGTAAAATCACTTTCCTGACATTTTTTGTTAATACTTCATATGGGTGTATGTTGCTTCGTCGGGTATAAAATTTGATTAGCTATTATCACATAATTTATCTCCGCTTAAGACGCACGTATGAAATGTTTGTGGCGCAGATTTTTAGCAAATTTAATAAGTCTTTAATGATAGGTTTCATTGTACCAGTTGTTTTCTGAAGCACCAACAAAAGAGAGACTCTCTTCAATTCTCAATTTCGTTAGAACTTCTTCTGGCCCAATTGAGTTAAGACGGCTATTTAGGCTTGAGATCTGATATTACACCTGATCTTGAAATCAGATTTGTAGTTCAGGAAAAGACCTAGCCGCCGCACCAATTTTTCACGGATGATTCTCGATTTTGATTGGCTAACGGCAACTAGAATAAAATCGCCACCCAAAAAAGTTTCGTTTTTTTTAGGTTAGGTTTAGGATTTTATTATTAGATCGATGTTTAAAAATACTTCTTATAGCAAAAATTTATAAGGAAAACTTAATTAATTAATTAATTAATGCGCAGAAGGCAGTTTCATAGACTAAATTTTGGGTTATAAGAGATTTTTGACAAAGCGAACGTTTGTTTTGAATTTTCTTGATTGTGTTACGTTACACCTGATCTTGAGACATGATTGGTCATGAAACTTTTTTGGGTGGCGAATTGCTAACGGCCGTGATCTACAAAATTTTGGCCCGCATTACATAATTGTTTACATAAATTTTGGCCGGAATTAACTTTTTAACTTTTTCATTCCCAAAATGGAAATTTTTAGAGAAATAGGCCCGCACAATGGTAAAATTAGCCCAGGAATATTTTTCACTTAATGTGCGGCTGTGATTTCATTAGTAAAATTTTGAGTAACTTGGGCCAAAATTTTTTAATCGTCGCTCTTAGCCAAAATCAAGAGATCATCACCGTTAGCCAATCAAAATCGAGAATCGTCCGTGCGGCTAGGTCCAATATAGTACAGGAAGTCTGCGCCACAAATTTGGTCCATCTTTCAGACGCTTAGAAAATTAAGATGCAACACGTACTAAAGAACTTATATTCGACATTGTAACTACAGATATAGGTCAAATATCAAAAAGTCAGAAAAAAAAGATATAAATCAAAAGATTTGCTTAGATACATACGGATCACAATTCCTGAATACCAATAGCTCTTAAACTCCATGAAAAATATGAATGCATAAAACACAGCAAACTCAAAACAAATCATGACAACAATCCATAGAACCAAAAATACTATCATTCCTAATTTACGTTCTTTTGTGACCTATCATTAAGAGAAAAAAATTTAATAAAAATCAAATTCGAATTCAAAAAAACATAAATAGATAAATTAAAAAAAAATAGCCGTTTACAAATCGATGAGCCAGTACTTCCAAAATAAGCGTCAAGACCGTAACGACCAAATAACATATTATTGAACTGATCATAAATCCTCTATCTTGCCAATTATGAACAAGAGTTTTGATTAATGAGGTCGTAAATTCTCTATCTTGCCAATTATAAACAAGAGTGTTGATCGATAAAGGAATCATGAATATGAACAGCAGGTTAAGATTCAGCAACATCAAGAAATTTAAATAATCCCTATATATACCTATTCAAAAATGCAAAAAAAAAAAAGGAATTTGAAAACGATACTAAAATAAAGGATCGTATAAAAGCAAGTTATAATAAAAAGATAGAATATTACGTTGCATTTCAAGATCAGCACCGATAATTTTATAAACATTCCAACCAAATTCTTTATAAAGATTAAATGAAAAGAAAGGCATGACAAATGCAAAAATAAGAAGTACTACAACGCATGAAATATCGTATCCCAAAAGGTTTGGCATGAAATTGGGCTTCTTAGCACATTTGGAGAGATCCTCTAATTCAACTAGTGTCGCTTTGACCTCAACTACTTGTGCCTTAATTAATTGAGAAATGTTGTAATGAATAATATGGTCAAATTTAACAAAAGGAAAGGAGAAATGCCTACAATTCCATAAAAAGCCCAACAAAAATTTAACAATGCAATGATTAAAATTTGATTAATATGTTTATTAAATATCTATAAAAAATAGAGCATCGCTAATTTAATTAGCATACACATTCGATCAATTACAATCCACCTTAAAGAAAACTTACCGTGTTGAAATTAATGTATAAATGAAACGCTTGAGACCAAATCAAAATCATATTATCATAAGCAAGAAAGGGGAACCTCGGAATATTTCTATCCTCAAATTGTTTGCAGTCCTCTTTAGAGAATTCGCCAATTTGATAGTAATTTGTCCAAGTGGTGTTGATGCTCAAATTACGGAATAATATCCTAAATTGAAGAGCGATTATTATTATACATTGGAGTATGGAGCTTAGGGCGAAACGTTGTGTCCATTTTGATTCATTTATTCTCCGCCACTTTATGAAGAAATTAAAAATAAATAAAGGATTTGATAATAGATCGGCGGCATTTAATTTTAGCATTATATAGTGATCAAACAGTATTAATAATGTTCGATTCAATATATACGTACCATTTTCAACGCAATTTTCTTGAAATTAGTAAAAAACAGATGCCATTTATATGATAAAATAACTTCGAAAGTATGAAAAAAATATATATCAAGTTCAAACGATTTAATAACGAAGCGACCGTGCAACAAATGATTGTTTTTATAGTGCATAAGAATTGTTTCCACAATTGTGGAAATAATTCCACAATACTAGGAACGTAGTAAAACGGAGTGTATGGTTCAATTCGTCCACAAAATCTTGATTCTGATTGGATGTAGTAATCGAATGATTTTCATATGTTAACCCTATATAAAATATTACAGTATGCCGATAGATCCTTGATCTTTGCTATTTTTGTTATGGTTTGGTTTCTTATGATCCTCCACATTTCCTTTTTAGATAAAATGGATAGCTCACCATAACTATAATACTGTGTTACGCTAATTTTTCGTAGCTTTAATAGTTACATCATTTTCAGTAATAAGCTGGATCTATGATTGCATTTATTGTAATAAGTCATAACTACGTAATTCTATCTAAATCGAGTATAAGATAATAATATTGTAAATGTATAAATACAATTCTTTTGGTTAATAAAATAGGAAAAACATAATCTCATTCTCTTTAATGACCAGCTACCAGTACGATCACATGAACGTGTAACATGAAATGTGAGAGGGATGCGTTTAGTTCAACTTTTTTGATGTCGCTTAGGCTGATTGTCTCTAAATCCTTTCTTAGTAAACATTATGGTTTTCATTTGTACAATTTTGGTAGTTATAATATTCTTATTAACGAAATAATTGATATCATTATTGCAGAATTTATTGAGATTACTATTATGCATTAATGCATTTAAACTAAGACTTTTGAGAATAAGGCTTAAAAGTATATTCCCATATAAAGACTTGTAATTATTTAAAATATTATTTATATTGGATTGAGGAGTAATTTTTTATTTATTTGTTTTTTGCAGATTACTATTATCCTATTGACAGTATTTTGATGTCATTATTTAAGATAAAATTCATCTATTTTTGGAAGGAGTCAATATTTTTGCATACCATATGATATAATTTCGCATGTAGATCATTCATTATGATACAAAGCTGACATCACTAATTATTAATCGGTATTGCATAAAAGCGTAAGGTTAATACCATGAAAGACGTAGCGTAGGCTAAAAAAA